CACCCAGAGGTTTATATTTTAATTTTACCAAGGTTTGGACTAATTTTCCATATTATTAGTCAAGAAAGAGGAAAAAAAAAGAAGCCTTTGGTACTCTCAGAATAATTTTTGCAATACTAGCTATTGGTTTATTGGGTTCCATTGTATGAGCTCATCACATATTTACTTTTGGTAAGGATGTAGATTCTAGAGTTTACTTTCATTCAGCAACTATATATATTGCCATACCAACAGGAGTTAAAATTTTTAGCTTATTAGCTACATGGATCACTACTATCCTATAATCCCTCACTACTATGTTCATTAAGATTTATATTCTTATTTACTAACAGGCATTGTTTTAGCAAATTCATCAATTGATATTATCCTTCATGACACATATTTCGTAGCAGCTCACTTTATCCATCCATTGATATCCATTATTTACAGCATTAACAATAAATCCAAAATGATTAAAAATACAATTTATATTAATATTTATCGGAGTAAATTTAACATTTTTCCCCAGCGTTTTCTTGGATAAGCTGGAACACCACATTGATATTCTGACTATCCAAATGTTTATACTTCATGAAATATCTTATCTTCGTAAGGCTCAACTATTTCTTTAAATGGTATTATTATATTAATTTTAATTTTATGAGAAAGAATAATGTCACATAGAAAATGTTAATTTTCAATAAATTTAAATAGATCTTTAGAATGATAACAAAATCTTCCATCTGCAGAACATTCTTATTCAGAATTATCTATTCTATCTAACAACTAATACAGCAGAAAAGGGCGATGAATTTAAGATTCATTAATAAAGAATTTCTGTTTTTAGTATGTGGCTACATGATCCAATTTAAATTTTCATAATACCTCATACCCCCGAATAGAACCACTTATTTTCTTTCATTATCATACTGTAATAATTCTATTAATAATTATGATTCTCATTGCATCTATCATAACATTATTTTTTAATCCTTATACTAATCGATTTCTTCTTGAAGGACAAACCATTGAAAATATTTGAACCATTTTACCTGAAATTACATTAATTTTTATTGCATTACCATCATTATGATTACTGTATCTATTAAATGAATCCCTACATTAATATATTATATATCCATATTTGAATAAGATAGTTTGAATATCTTTCTTCACATACTCCCAAATTTCTCTCATGCCCTAACGCAGGGATGGCTCTCAAGTAAGGGCGTAGGCTTCCGCGGCGGGAGTCGGTATTAACTTGGCTGTCCGGGTGACGCCGCGTTCATGGCGACTGAAACGTCAGCACCTTCGCCATGGACGCGGCGTCACCCGGACAGCCAAGTTAATATCGGCTTTCAAGTATTCCAATCTTTCATCAGAAATCTCAATCTTCCCCATCATTCATTCTCGTTCTTTGATATCATCTTGTCCCTTTTCTTCTTTTTTTTCTTCTTTATTTTTAATTCATTGCCCTTCTGTAATCTGAACGCCTATCCACGTGTTTGCCGTGCATGGCGACCCGTGGCGGAAAGAATGTCTCCTGGCGGTTGAGGGGTCTGTTTGTTTTCCAACTGCAAATTCTTATGCTATGATCTGCTCTGTAACGAGGGATATGTTATTTACGTGAGAGCGTAGGCTTCCGCGGCCGGAGTCAGTATTTACTAGGCTGTCCGGGTGACGCCGCGTCCATGGCGAAGGTGCCGACGTTTCGGTCGCCATTCTGCGACCTTCCTCAGGGCGAAATGCCAACGTACCTGAGTGGGAAACGTTCTAGAAATACGAATGTCGAAAAACTGCTCAAATGATATCAATGCTATGGTTGCCCATTTTACTACTGCCGTTCTTCATGGGGCCTCAATGGGGCCAATGTCGTCGCGTCGCCCACGACATCCTCCAGTGCCCTGGTGGATTGCCGACTGTGCTCTCGCGATGTGATCGGAAACGGGCGTTGGCAAAGATTAGTAAGTTCCCAAGCACGAATTATCTGATCAATTATAAATGATCACGAACCAGAGGTAGATTGGCCATTAGGGAAAGTAAGGCCGCGTCTTGGGGAGCTTATATTTCATCACTCTCTTGCCGTACGCTCCCTAAAGTAGTTCGGCGAAAGGTTTGATAGATCGGGCTTTTGGCTTCCTTCGCTCTTTTGGGGCTTCTAGTAAATAGAAATTTTCTCACCTCACCAGAAGATACGGCTGAAGAATTGGCCCCTCGATACGAAGATATCTCCAGCTCTATACACTGCCCTCTTGGCTTTCTGACCCCCCCCCATAGAGAATATAGAACTGCAGATTAGATTTCTGGAGTGATGTGGAGGAAGATTGCAATGCTTCTTTCTCCATGGATGAATTTTCCTATGCCTCCGCTTGTGCGAAAGATTCAGGACCAGACCAGATACATAATAAAATGCTTAACACCTACCGGAAAACCCTCGTTCTTTTGAATTTGCCTTATTTTACGAGGCGAGACTCGGGCCATCAGGCCCGCTCTTCCGTCTGACCACGCAAATTTCGCTACGCTCCTTTCACCAACTAAGAGATAAAAGAGGTATTTCTTGGGCAAGAAACAGGCGATTTGAATTTAGCTCAGAGGCGTCATTTAGGCTTGAGGATCTTTTACATGCAAGTAAATCTACGAACATGGGACAGCCGGCTTTACTTTCCCTCCGAAGGAAGGCGTACGAAGGATTTTTTCGCCCTTAAAAATCCACGGCTTCGATCGGGTTTGAACCCGCCAACTTGGGTACAACAGTCCAGTACACTAACCGTTACAACCATCGCCGCCGCCGTTCTTTTCTCCTCCGCATTTTCAACCTGATATGAGATAAACATTTCTTACCAAAAACTCGAAGCCATTGTTATTCCAATCCACAAAAAGGAAAGAGGACAATCCCTTCAAGTTACCATCCAATCTCATAAGCTGTATGTGCAAGCTTTTAGAGCGAACCGTAAACACAAGTGTGGTCTGGCTCCTAGAACGAAGGAATCTATTTATACCTATTTATCTATTAAATCTCCTTATATAGAGTAAATATATAGCAACTACAGTCGGATGCAGTACAAAAACAATCGTGAAGATACTTGTAAAAGTTGCACATACTGCACCATAATGTTCAATCCCTTTCAAATGAAAAAGTTTATCGAAACAGCTCTGCAGAGCAATTTAAATCGAATGGATGTTCTCTGCTTTACAGAACATTCGTTATTTCATAATGAACTTAGTATTTTCCAAATTACAAACTTTTACCTTGCAGACTATTATTGTGGAGAAAAGGAATCGCATAAAGGTCCTGCATATGGGGGGTTCTTGCTTTTGCGTTAGAAATAATATCGATTCGATCTCCTTGACGGAATTAAATATGTATTCAGTTGAAAATGGATTTGAAATATCTGTAGTACATCTTCATACGCTAAAAATTATTACTTTGCATCTCCAGGCCTCCAACAAAGAGAGCAGTAGATTATGTCAAAATTCTCTAAAAAAAACTGGAGATAGCACTAAACAAAGTCAGCAATTGCTCTTTTGGATCCATTGTTGTATGCGGAGATTTTAACATTGATTTTCATGTGGAAACTTCGAAAAAGTGCAGTTTCTCAACGTAATTCATTCCTTCAGTTTAAATATAATGTACCTACGGATCACAGTAAATTCAATGAAGGCTATCGATAAAATAATAATGAACTAAACCACTACTCGATATGAAATTGAAACAAAAGATTTATAGAACAGTGATCACGATGAACAAATTTTTACTATTATAAGAAATGCGAACACTGACAGATTAAATAATACATGTATGTATAGATTGTTTACTAAAAGTAAAATAAAATTACATGCTGCAAGAATCTTTGGACGCGTTTTACAATTCTGTTGATACAAACGATAAATATAATTCTTTTATTTTCAACGTTTTTACTTCATTTTAACACTTGCTTTTCTGTTCAAAAAAGATAATCAAATAATTCACTGAAGCAATTCTTGGATAACACAATTAAATCGCGTTACTTCTGTGTTTAAAACGATGTGCATGTGTAATGTGTGAATTTATCTTGAAATTTTATTATTATTGATTCTTGATGAAAGCATTTAAGTTGATTTATTTTTTGTCAAAAAACTGATTGAAATAGTGTTCGACGTAAGTGGAAAAATATAATCTGCGCACTTTTTTGAGTTCCATAACGTCCTCACCCTTTTGCTGTACATAGTTAAATAATGAATAAAAGTACCAACAAAGCGAGGTTAGCAACATTTCATTTAGTAGAAGTTTTCTCTCTCGAGTAACGGAAGACTTGTGTGCATCAGTAAACGAACTACAAAATTGAATTTATAATTGTACTGTGTATTTATAACTATAATGTACTGTAACTATACTGTGAATTTTTAACTGTACTGAATTATTTACTGTACAGTTTTGTGCAGGGACACCTCGGTTCAACGGCCAAAAGTTTGGATAGGAAGTCTAAAATCCTAGTAGGCCAAAAGCAAATATTGTTTGTAACGGCGATGCGCGCGGCGATTGTGTAACGGTTAGCGTACCGAACTGTTGTACCCAAATTGGTGGGTTCAAAGCCGATCGAAGCCGTGGATTTTTAAGGGCGAAAAAATCCTTCGTACGCCTTCCTTCGGAGGGGAAGTAAAGCCGGCTGTCCCATGTTAGTAGATTTACTTGCATGTAAAAGCTCCTCAAGCCTAAATGACGCGTCTGAGCTAAATTCAAATCGCCTGTTTCTCGCCCAAGAAATACCTCCTTTCTCTGCTAGTTGGTGAAAGGAGCGTAGCGAAATTTGCGAGGTCAGACGGAAAAGCAGGCCTCATGATCTGAGTCTCGCCACGTAAAATAAGGCATTAATTCAATTCAATTCAACGGAGTTGTTAATTGACGTGCCTGACATGTGAAAGTGATTACAGTTGATATATTAGATGTAAATTTACCATTATAAAATAAATGCATCTGTAAGTAACTTCAACTGTTCGCTGGAGTGCAAGCGCTCTATTGAGAGGTTTGCTGTGTTGTGTAGGGGCGGAGTGCGACTTGGCTGCGAAGTCAAAGAGGAAACAACTGCTGCGGGTAGCGCGTGCGCTGACGTGCGCCGAGGGGGACCAGTCCTTCGGCCTTGGGCGACAGGCGGTGCAGTTGGCAGCGCGTGGCGGCCACACAAGCGTGGGCAGACTCTTCGGGCGGCGGGCCGCAACGGACAAAATGGTGAGCACAATCACACGCGCAAGTGAACGTCAGCTAGAGTATCCATCAAGAAATGCCTTTGGTCATTCGTTCTTATTTGTTATGAGGCTTTGTTCATTCATTGATTCATCATTATTCTCGTAAATACGTAAATGTAACAGAACTTTCCCTTACTACATCCATTTTTATTTCAAGTCTTCAGTTTTTCTTCGCGTGTGGCGAAAACTATATTGCGTGGGCGGTTACATTAGAATGACTATTCAATTCTGCTGCGGGACAGCGTTAGGCCCATGAAATCACAGATTTGAGGACGCAACGATTCAAAGATTTTGCCTAATCGTGGGATTTCTGGGACCCTTTACACGCCGTTGTGCACAAAATGAAGGGCCCCGATTGCCATAAAAGACATCCGCCAAAGGACATTTTTACTTTCTCGCTATCGCTTACGCAGTAGAGAGAAAGTTATGTAGTTCTGTGCGAAAAACGGCGACTTTTCGGCAGAAAACTCTTTATTACAGGACCCTGGTAACGACAAAATAAATAAATTCAGTTACTAAATTTAGAGGACAAATACTAACACGCTGGGTAAACAGAGTCCATGTTCTATGAATACCACTGATTTTTCACCAATTACAAAAAATCATATTTTTTTGGGCGTCGTCCTACAACTAGGAATATGAAGATAGAGATGTTTTCGCTTAATGAAATATGTTCCTTAAATATATATTTTAAACTAAAAACGGGTACAATTTTTCGAAAACGTGAGTACTTTTTGCTCGAAAGCGCAGGCGAGAAACTACGTGCCCTTTTAGCACTAAGAGTTCTTCATGCCCCCTTTTGCCCCATTCGCTTATGGGCGAATTCGGTGGATTTGGGTGTTTTTGTTCCCGCAGAGAGACTTCCTCGGGCTCAGCCGATATTCTCTAAAATGTACTTTACATGAAACCTCTGGTCTCATTTTCATTGAATACTCATTTTTCGAAAATTACAAAAAATCTTTTTTTTTTGCGTCGTCCTATAACTAGTATTATGAAGATAGAGATGTTTACGTTAAATATATATTGTAAACTAAGAACATGTACAATTTTTCGAAAATTTGAGCACTTTTCGCGCATTTTTGCGCGATAGCAAGGCGAGAATCTACGTGCTCTTTTAGCACCACTAGTTCTTCTTGCCCCCTTTTGCCCCATTCGCTTATGGGCGAATTCGGTGGATTTGGGTGTTTTTGTTCCCGCAGAGAGACTTCCTCGGGCTCAGCCGATATTCTCTAAAATGTACTTTACATGAAACCCCTGGTCTCATTTTCATTGAACTAATTACAAAAAATCATATTTTTTAGCGTCGTCCTACAACTAGAATTATGTAGAGATGTCTTCGCTTAATGGAATATGTTCCTTAAATATATATTTTAAAGTAAGAACATGTACAATTTTTCGAAAATTTGAGTAGTTTTTGCGCGAAAGCACAGGCGAGAAACATGTTCTCTTTGAGCACCGCTAGTTCTTGCCTCTTGTGACCCATTCGCTTTTGGGAGAATTCGGTAGATTTGGGTGGGTTTGTTCCCGCAGGGAGACTTCTCGGGTTCAGCCGATATTCTCTAAAATGTACTTTACATGAAACCCCTGGTCTCATTTTCATTGAACTGATTACAAAAAATCATATTTTTTTAGCGTCGTCCTACAACTAGAATTATGTAGAGATGTCTTCGCTTAATGGAATATGTTCCTTAAAGATATATTTTAAACTAAGAACATGTACAATTTTTCGAAAATTTGAGTAGTTTTTGCGCGAAAGCACAGGCGAGAAACACGTGCTCTTTGAGCACCACGAGTTCCTCTTGTCCCTTGTGTCCCATTCGCTTTTGGGCGAATTCGGTGAATTTGGGTGTGTTGGTTCCCGCAGGGAGACTTCCTCGGGAGCAACGGCGCGTCCAGCAGCCGAGCCGCCGACGCCGCCGAAGACCCGCCGGCCGGTGAAGAAGACGCGACCCCGCTGCACGACGGCGAGGGCGAGGGCGAGGGTGAGGGTGAGGGTGGGGACGCGGCGCCAGCGCGCCCCTGTTTACTGGAGCGGCCGCCGCACCACACGGCGCCGTCCGAAGCCCTGCGCCGAACGGTGGTGGCGCGGCGCGCGCTGCGAGAACGAGCGCGGGAGCCCCAGCACGCGCTCAAGGAGCTGCAGGCGCAGCAGGCGCGAGAGCTGTTGCAGGCGCAGCGCGTGCTTCAGTTGTTGAAGGATCAACAGGCGCAGCCGACTGTCGAGGCGCAGCAGGAAGCACAGCAGGAAGCACAGCAGGAAGCACAGCAGGAAGCACAGCAGGAAGCACAGCAGGA